AAAAAAGATCACAAGTAGGCATGGAAGCTCATTTGCAATAGGAACTGATAGTGCCAATTAGAATTTGGTTCGCAGGGCGCGTCAAGATATTCCAGTTCATGAAATAATCTGTATGTCGCCATAGGTTTTTTGAAATAAGACTTGCGAAAGAACAATTACAAGAGGTTCCCTGCCAAACTATGAATAGACTACAATCTCATCGATGAGTAAATCTACGAAATTGCCCGATGTTACTCTGCTAAGCCTTATTGTACATATGTAATCTGGATTTATTTCTGAAGACTTTTTGGGAAGATCTGAAACCGTATGTCTCGAAAACTTACTAACACCAACAAGTCCTATAGCATTTAGAGCTTTTATATAGCTTGATGATTCTGCTATTTATCATAGAAGATTCCACAAGAAAGGTAACAACATTCAGAAAAATAGATTATGCATTTTACAGTTGTCCTGCTTTCAGATGAACATCGCGATGAAAGCACTGCGATGTCTATCTGAAAGCTTCAAACGCAGCTGACACTCACACCACTATTTCTACCACTGTATTTTCCAGAATGAGGATCTGATTCTTACATCGTTTAGCAGATCTATTTCGCTCAATGTAATGAAACGAGCAGCAATGTAAGTTAACTGTTCAAAAATACATGCTTTTCTCAGTCGTTTGCCATATGAATGAACAAAGAAGTTAGAAAAGGAAGTACATATTTGGAAATGGATGAGAGGATGCGTTTTAAAGTCAATGAAAAAAACGCCAAAGCACTAACTGACACTTATGATCATTTGATTATTAGCTGTATATATCTACCAATGCAATATTGCGAAATCGCACAGAGAACACTTAATTGAGAAAACAAATTTCGCAATTCTATACTTGTACAGCCTACTTGTTCATATTCTGCTTTTAATAAATGTCGAAGATGTAGCAATATCAACAGATTAACAAAAAGATGACAGCAAAAGATTTACCTGTGCTTCGTTCTTGATTCCTCCACTGATGATATAGGAGACAACAAGCGGGATTTTCCC